CCCCGGCCCTTCCCCGGCCCCTCCTTGCCGTCCTCGGCGCTCCGGGTCGGCAGCCTGTGACCTGCTCGCGCAGACACGCGGCTCGCTGGATTCGCTTTACCCGGCACTGTGCGAATGACGCCTTCTTTGTTTTTGCTTTAGTTGTGGGGTAAATGACGGGACATCTCCACTGGGTAGTTTGAATTCGATGTCAGGTGATCACACGTGGTCCCCATGTCCCAGAGGGGTGGCGGCGGCAGTGTTTAGAGAGAAGCTCGGGGCGAGGAGGTGGCCGAGGGGCCGATTCCCTGTGCAGGGCTCCTAGCCTTCAGGGGCCATGGAGAAGATGCGCCTAGACGTGGAAGTCTGCTTTCTGTGTCTTCCAAAAGGAAGGTGTCCCATCGGTGCTCCCCCTCCGAGAGCCTGGGGAGACCTCCGGGAGACCCCAGAGAGGAGAGCACCAGGCAGTGTTTAGTTGAGTAGAAACTTTTTGCTGAACTTCGCTGCTTCTGTGATGCGGTTTCATACTGATTTTGTGATTAAGTCCTTAACTTAAAAGAAAATTCCTTTTGCAAAGAAGGAGAAGGGGAAAGGGGTGAGGTGGCCAGTGACGCAGCGCCTGAGCAGAGAGAGAAGGTCCCAGGGCCTGCTGTCAGCCCGGGCCTGTGGTGGCCGCATATGCTTTCCCACCTTTTAGAGGTCAGGTCCGCTTTAACAAAAAGACAAAATGTTTTTAAAAAGAAAGAAAATGTGACAAAATATATGTTGAAATTCCTGTGGCAAGAAGTCTAACATTTCAACTCAACACTAGAATGTCAGCCTAACCCTAAGGGAAGGGGGAGAGAGGCCACAAGGAGTACAGAGGGGGACAGAGACGGGGCCCAGGGTGCGCCACCCAGTAAATGGTGTTCACAGTCACTCCCACATGCGGTCAGCCTCACAGCCACCCGCCGAAGAAGGTCACGCACGCATTATTTTTCCTAGTATACAAATAAGACTCGCTTAAAGTCATGACCTAGTGAGTGGCTAAGCCAGGACAGTCCAGGCTCTGCTGCTCAGTGTGTGTGTGCCACACCGTCCTGGGCCCTGGAAGTAGGGCAAGGGGCAAAACAGCCCCGCCCTCACACGGGGGGAGTGGGGCGGGGGCTGGGGAGGGGGGGGAGGGGCCGGGTCCCGCCTGCTGCCTCCGGGCCCCTAGTGAGGCCGCTCTGAGAATGCGAGAATCTCCTTTTCCACTTTTTTCATTGTGGAAAATACGTATAATGTAATATTTACCATTTTAGCCATTTTAAGTGTACAGTTCTGTGCCATTAAGCACATTCACATTGTTAGCAGTCTTCAAGACTGTCCATCTCCAGAACTTTTGTGAATGATAGAATATTTTTAATTTCCTAATTGCTCCCAAGTTTTAGAAAAAAGGATTTAAAAATCACTAAAGAGTTTTCTAAGCTGCTCAAAGCATACATAGCTAAATTAAATTTTAAAACTAAAATTTACCTTTTGGCATTGATTATATTGTCCCTCTGAAAAATATATAAATCTACCTCTCATTAATTAGTATTTTTTTAATGCCTAGAATCCATTAAGTTTGCTTTCTTTACTCTTAGGCATACAAATCACGTGAGCCCCATTTGCCAGTTTAATATTCACCTGTTAAGCCCGTGTCCAGCTCCCAGATCACATTCTTAAGTGTTTCCCATATTCAGTGACTGAGTTTGAGAGAAGTTACTTCCTGTGATGTAGGATCTGATCTTCTACCAATGTGGCAGGCCACACCCATGTTGTAACACATCATTCAAATGGTAGCCACAGGGTGACCCACGTCCCTGTTCTCCTGAAAAACCTCAATTCCGGGAAGCCCCAAAGCCCCCAGGCTGGGATGGCTGGTCACCCAGGCCGTGAGTTCAGCACCTGTTCAGTGTGGGTAGAGGCCCCAGCAGTGTTCAGAAGGCTGAGTAGCAGGCAGAAAAGGTGAGTCAGCGTTTCCCAGCGCTTTAAGGTCAGGAGGAGATGGGAGGCCAGTGGGACCCACCACCGTAGCCATGTCCACCACTTACCACCACCCCAGCAGTGAATCTCTGCCAGGACTAAGGGACTTTCCATCCAGCCCACTAGGAATGCCACCTGGACCTAAGCGCCCTTGGGCATAAGGGGAAGGGAACATGGCAGCCAGTGTGACAGAGGCCCCCCAGATGCATGGCTGCCTGTGCTGCCAGGGGCCCCCCTCAGCCTATGGACTCCACGATGCCGACTTGCTTGGTCAGCCCACAGCTACGTATCGAGCACTTGTGTGCCAGGCCCTCTTCTAGGAACCAGGGCCACCCCGGTAGGCAGAGCCGACTGATGGCCCTGCCCTGTGGACTCTCACCCGGTCAGGGTGGGACAGGCGGTCAATAAGGAGAATACGAAAATGCCTCATCAAGGAGGGAAGGTGCCAGGGCCAGGGCCCCATGGGAGGAGAGCGGGGGGCTTGGGAGCTGGAGAGAGGCGAGAGCTTCCCGGCGGCGTGAGAGCCGGGAGCCAAGGACTCAGGGGAGCCCCTGGCTGGCGAACCGCGGGCAGCACCGACACCCAGGGTAAGTCAGGAGAGGCTGAGAAGGCCAGCAAGGCTGTGAGCAGCAGTCAGTCGCCTCCCCGAGGAGGGACCGAAGGGTCCCCTGGGCCCCTGTTTTTGGAGAGCCTTCAGAAGCAACGGCCACAGCCCTGGGGAGAGATGCTGCTAGAAGACCTGGACTCGGTGTGTTTTGAAGTCAGGCCTCCAGGGTTTGCCAGGCATGATATAGGCTGTGGAGGGAGGGTGGAAATCACCAGTCTCCCCAGATGTGTGCCCAAACCACTGGGAGGTTGACACACAGTGACAGGAGAGCGGGAGGAGCCAGTGGAGAGGGAGACGGGAGCTGGGTCTGGTCAGACGGAGCTGGGCGACTGCCAGGCCAGGAGAGGGTAGGGCGGGCACAAGGCAGGAGCCCTGGTCATTGTGCAGACAGGGCTGCAAGTCCAGACAGAAATGGGGAGCCGGCGGAGCCATGGACAGGCAGGCAGATGAGGCAAGGGGTGCCCTGGGGCACACACTGAGGACGGGTGCCCGGCTTGGAAGGGCGGAGGCCTGGACGGGGGCCATTTCCCCGAAGCAGGATGGGAGCCACAGGGAGGGCCCTCGCGGTCACGTCATCGTTGGTAGAAATTCTGAAACAAAACCCAAGAACACATTTCCAGGGTCAAATGAATCCTGGATTCACTGGCTCCCACTGCCACCATCTGTCCCTAAACTGCCTGTTTCTGTCTCTTAGGAAAAAGAAAGCGAGGAGGCGAAGGCAAAGACTCGGGGTACGTAGGCCTCACAGGAGAGCTGCCTGCCCTGCGGAAGCCGCGCGCAGTCCTGCAGCGAAGGGCCGCAGCCCCTGCCACGATTCAGCACGGGGAGTGGAAGCGCGCCTTAGCGCCTCGCCTGATTTCAAGATAGACTTCACATCAGACTCATTATTGAGAATCGAGAAATAATTTCTACAAAAAGTTATTAAATGGCTTTCTTTTTATTTTCTTCAGAAACTCAAGGAAGGAAAGCAGCCCCGCCCGCCGCTTCAGAAGCTCCTGATGATCACTTTCTAGACAAGTGAGTAAAGTCGTGTGCAGCCTCTGCTGACGACAGTTGGAGGGACAGCCACGCACAGACACTGTGAGGTCCCTCTGCACTCCCTCGCTCGCTGTGACGACTTGACCGGCTCTTCTTGGTCATCTCTGAGTGCGGGAAAGCCACCCCTTCACCTGGCCAGCATTCAGCTGAGTCTGGGTGGCTTCCCACCCTTCGCCCCAGCAGAAGGCAGCGGTCTCCCTGTCACAGGCACTCTTACGGGCACCGGTGCTAGAGCGGCAGATGCCTTCGGCTGCACAGGGACCACAAAAATCTGCAGGGAATTTTAGGGCGATGACTTCATGTCATCCTTCTGTGTGACTTAAATACCCTTCCTGCTTGGTTATGCTAATGAGTTAGAAGTTGAAGGGTTCTTAAGCTAATTGATCTCAAACATCTACCTGAGGAAGACTCTTCCCACAGCACTTGTATAAGGCCCGTCCGGCCCCGTGAGACCCTCCCAGTGAAGTGGCACCTCTACCTCCTGGAGCCAGCGGAGGCCAGCTTAGGAGGGGGAGGCCTGCCCATTGGGAGCCAAATCGGGGAAATGGAGAGTCTCCCAGGACAGTCAGAGCAGAATGGACATTTCTCAACTCGATCTGTGCCTTCATTTCTTACTTTTCTGTTTTGTTTCAGTTTATGTATTTTTTGTGGGGAAAGGAGTGAATCCTTCACAGAGGAAGGCCTGGATCTCCATTACTGGAAGCATTGCCTCATGCTGACCCGATGTGATTACTGCAAGCAGGTAGGCCCGGGCACGGGCAGGCCGGACCTAGCCTGAGGGCTGGGCACACAGTTTCTGAAAGGCCAAATCACAAAATACGCAGGCTTAGTGTTTTCAGAAAAAGTCATGGGAAAGTAATGGGATGTATACACCCTGGTTTGTTTTGGTTGATGTCTCTCACTTTTCTTTTGAAGTGTAAACAAATATGTATCAGCCACACTACAGAGATACTGTGCTTGGTTCCAGGCCACTGCAATGAAGCGAGCATCACCGTGGAGGGAGCCCTTGTGTGTCTGGGTTTCCCAGCGCATATGAAAACTGTTTACACCAGACTGTAGTGTGTTCAGTGTGCAGCAGCACCCTGACAACATGCACACTCAATTAAAAATGCTTTACTGCTAAAATGTGCTGACCATCCTCTGAGCTTTCACTGAGTCGTAATCACTGATCACAGACACCATAACAAATATAATCATAAAAGAGTTGTAAATAATGTGGGAATTACCAAAATGTGAGACAGACACAAGGCGAGCAAGTGCTATTGGGAAAATGCCACCTGAGTGGTGGGCCCTTGCCTGGCAGTGCAGACCCCGGGGCCCAGAGTGGGCAACTGGCCTCTCCCACCAGCTGTAAACACCCATGCCATGAAGTGTTAGGGCATATATGTGACTCCTGCTAAAGATGTCTGAGTGGCAGGAGATGCTTGGAACACCCCTTCTGTAACCCTGTTTGCATGCACAATCAGAAACTTCAGGGAGCTGGCATGCGAACCCAAAGGCCACATGTTTAAGCCATCCACCCAGAATGTTTGTGTCACCCTGGAGTTGACCAGAGCATCCATCCCCCACAGCAGTGGCTCTTACACATCATTAAGGGCACATGACACGCAGGATGTGTGGTCTTTGCCAATCACCCTAAATGGCTACAGAAGCCTGTGGAGTATGGACCAGAGAGAAAATGCATGCTTGCCTTCACAAGAGCACACAGGAAGGGCACGGCAGGCTTCGTATGCACAGGAGACAGGTGTGTGCAGCGCTGTTCTCAACAATGTGCCCTGTGCTGTGTTTGGAGTCCAGGTGGTCGAGATACCCAGCCTGACAGAGCACCTGCTGACCGAGTGCGACAGACAAGACGTGTTTGGGAAGTGCTGGCGCTGCAGTGAGGCTATTTTGAAAGAGGAGCTGTCCAGACACATAAAGACAAAGGGATGTAACCGTGAGTGTCTCCTCGGGCCCCTGCCAAGCCACCTGGATGCTCTGGGGAGGCCCAGCCACAGGCCAGGGTTCAGGTCTGCACCTGCCAGGCCATCCGCTGGTACCTCCTGTCTGCTGCCCCTTGTCAAGACTCACAGGAGCAACTAAATCTCATTTCACTGAAATCGTTTCAGCTGCCAAATCAGAGAAGCTGGCAAACCGGTGTCCTTTGTGCCATGAGAACTTCAGCCCTGGAGAGGAGGTGAGGGCCTAGCAGGGAGGTGACCTGACACTGGGGTGAGTGCCCACTTTGAGTGGCAACGAGGAAGTGTCGTCAGCGCTGACCACGGCTGTGGGCCATCCTGGGCGCACAGTGTAGACCGGCTCTGTTGCGCGCCGCCTGGCATTGTTCCATTTGCCTGCCTGCTCTCCCGATTCCCCTCCGTGACATCTGTAGACATCTCTGCAAGGAGCCTCAGCTCTTTGGGAAATAAGTGTGAAATGGTCTTATTTTTCCAATCATCGCTTTCATCTATTGATCAGGGCCCTAACTGGCATCTTGGCCAGGTTGTGTAACACGCTGGGCCCTTTAGATCAACAGAACTGAGCCCAGGCTGGTTCGGAAATCCTACCTCACGTTGATCCCAGCTGTCCTCGCCTCCCTCCTGTGAGCTGCACTGGGGCATCACTGCCTTGCCCTGGGAGTGCAGGCCTTCCATGCCCAGCCTCTCTCCCATTTGCCCTGCTTTCTGGGCTAGCGGGTGAGAGGCTGGGGCCAGAGGGCATCAGAGACCCTGTATTGGTTGCTCCACTAACATGACAGCAGGCAATGCCCTCTGTATGCCAGGCATGGATACTCTGCCCTGTGGGACCACCGGGCCCAACACCCAGCTCAGGAGACCCGCGTTGGGCTCTGCCCCTTCTGCTCCAGCCCCTCAGCCACTGCCACCTGCAGTCTGCCTGCCACGTCCTGCTGGGGGGCTCCCCCTGCCCCGGCCCCCTGGGATGTGGTGCTGCGAGACGCTGAGAGCCAGCAGTGCCCTGCAGCTTTCTCCTGAGCACAGAAAACTCAGGTGCAGACAGCACGAGGGGCTGCCCCGCCACTCCCTTACCCACCCAGCTGTCCCAGGCTCACCCTCTCTCAGAAAAACATCAGGTTCGCAACCAGGTCCACAGAGCAGGGAACCCACTGCACCCTTCAGGGCCGGGCCCTGCGGAGGTAGCCTTCCCACAGCGCCTTGCTTCAGCCGCACCACCACGGCTTGCTCCCCGCACATCCAGACAGCTGGCCCGCCCCTGGCAAGGGAAAGCCTGTTACTCGGCGGGCAGGTTCGTCCTGCTTTCCATCTGTCTCCATGTTTTAGTCGTCTACGCTGCCTAGCAAATCACCGCAGGGTAGGCAGCTTCGGCACCCATTTATTACCTCACAGCCTCTGTGGGCCAGGAGCCTGGTACAACCTGACTGGGTCCTGCGCTCAGGGGTGGGCCGGGCTGTGCTCACCACTCGTTGCCGTGGTGGGCAGGATCCTGGTCTCTGTCATTATAGGACTGAGGTCCCAGGGCTGCTCTCCACTCCTGGAGGCCACCCTCAGCCCCTGCCCACGTGCCACCTAAGCTGAATTACAATTTCCCCCATGTGACAGCAGTCCCAGTGCGTGTCCTCAGAGGGGACGAAACCCACACGCTGTGTCCGCTGCTCTGGGAGGGAAGATGCATCAGCCTTGTTCTGAGCCGTGGCACTTCCTGAGGGTCCCCTGCCGGGCGCACCAGATGCGGGCAAGAGCCGCAGCCTTGGGGGCCACCTCTGGTTCTGCCTCTAACAGGAGGCCACCTCCGGTGGCCCCTCAGTCGCCTGGTTGACCCTGCGCCTCCTCCTATTTCAGGCATGGAAAGCTCACTTGATGGGCCCGGCTGGCTGCACGATGAACCTGCGCAAGACACACGTGCTGCCCAGGGCACCGCCTCTGCCTCAAGGTGAGGGCCAGGCCTCCCCCGCCTGGGGCCTCCCTGCAGGCTGTCTGCGCTGTGCGGGCTCAGCCTCTCCATGGCCACTCGGTCCAGCTGCATCCCATCGGCGTCCTCTGCTCTGTCTCTGGCTCCTTGATGAGCAGTCCAGTCACGCAAGCGAAGTCCTGGTCAGCTCCAAGCTCTTGCCAAAGGCTCCCTGCCTGTGTCTCTGCGCCTTCCAAAGGCCAGGGGGCAGCATTCGCTCTGTGTATAGCTCAGACCCACTGCATGCTCTTAGGGCACAAGCCAGGGCCCTGGGGTCTGCCCGCCGTGCCGCCTGCAGGGCAGCCACAGACACTCTTCCCCGACATCCAGGGCATCGGCTGCTCATGCTGTTCCCCAGTTTTGCCCTCTGACTCCCCTCTGCTTTGTTTCTGTGTGTCCACTGCAGGAAAAGGCCCAGCCATGGCCAGATCAGGGACCTCAGGAGCAAAGGTCGGAAGCAAGATCCCTACCCCGAGGGGGGCCTTGAGTAAAAGCACTGGCAGGACACACACACAGCGGTGACCTGACACTCCTCCGTCCTGTCTGAACAAGGCACTAGCTGCCTCCTGGCTGCAAACCATCTCCCCTAAAAACCATCCTAGGCGAGGCAGGCCTGCACGGTGCCATGGCCGCCAGCTCTTGTGGTGCTGGTCTTCTTTGTGGGCTGTGTGTGGACCCTGTGCCTGGCGAGTTAGGACCTAATCTCCCTGTAGTTTGTGGATGTCGGTGTCCCATTTCTCAGGCCTGGTGTCAACAGAGGGGTGAGTGTTCTGTCTGGAGAGGATCCCGAGTCGCTGCTCAGGAAGCCTGCAAAGTGCTGCTGCCCTGTCAGTCCATGGGCTGGGAGCTGGCGGGCAGACAGCGCCAGCACCCATCCCGCACTTGCCAGGGTGATGCCCATAAAATCTCTGCAAGCCTTTGCACATCGGGCTCTTACCGTGGCTAAGTCTCCGCAGGGCTTCCGCTCCAGCAGTGGTACTGAGGCTGGAGAGGGCTGGTGTCCACACGCTTCCTGTGCCTTCTCACCTCGCCTCCTGCCTGCTCCCGTCCTCCTCTAACAAGTGAAGGTCAAGAGCAGCTGCTCCTGAGCACTGGCCTCTCAGCACTCACCCTGCTAGATGCCGTGACCAACCTCCGCCTGCAGCAGGGGCCCTGCGTGGGGCATGGAGTGGCACTGGGTGGCTACCTGCTAGCCTTCCCTAGGCACTTCAAGCTCTTTACACCAGAGGTCCCGAAGTGCATACAGGTGTGCAAAATGATGTCCCAGGGCCCCTGTGCTCACCTGATGCCTGTCAGTCAGAGCAACCCTCCCAAAACCCAAGGCAAACCTGGTGTGGTTCCTGCCATGGGGCCACTTCTTTGCTGAACACTCACAAATAAGCCTTCAGCAGGACCAGCCAACTCAGATCACCCAGTTTGGGCCTGTCACCTGACCCTCTCAAATCCACATAGAAATTGGAACTGTAAGTTCACTTTTCTCCAGTACTTCATATGATGCTTAAAACACCAGAACATCACCTAAAATGACAGACCCAAACCTCCAGATCCAGTCTCCTAATCAGCTCCTGACCACGCACCCTGGCACACGGAACTGGTTCCGCTTGCATCCTGTCCAGGTAGTGTGGGGAAAAGCCAGTGTTTGTCTGAAATCTGCTTGGAAACACCCAGTGTCTTCCTGTCCACACCTGTGCCCCCAGGGCCCTAGCCTCCCAGAGACCCAAGGAAGGGGACCTCCCCTGCCGATGGTGACCAGGGTACCTGAGCATTACATGAGCAGGGTTTCAGAATGCCAGCAAGAAATGTGTGCAATTGGTCAAATTTGTACTGCACAATTACTGTTGAATATTTTTAATTCCCAACCATGTCAAAAAATAATACATTAAAATAATAAAGAGCTATTTGAGCAAGGTGCTCCCTGGGTATATTAATGACCATAATTTGCACTAATCAGTCTCCATTTTTGGTAAACTAAGACCTCATATGGTTGACTCAAAAATACAAGTGTCATACCAAGAAAATTACCTTTTTAAAAAAATACCCTATTAAAAAAGAAAAAAGCATGGAAGGAGAAATAACATAAAACTTTGCTATGCAAAACAGTGCAGATACTGAGATAATTATAAAATGATCCTTCCTGGTTTCAAAAAGATATTGGCCATTATTTTCTAATTCATTTTTAAAGTACAGAAAACATTTCTTTAAATAGCATAATAATGAGAAAAGTCATTCTCTTCTCATCAAAACTTTTATGAAATATACGTGTAATGTTTTCTATGTTGTAACTTACAGAAGTCATTTGTAAAAAACATTTAATATTTAGTGATTGACAAAATTGGGTGCAAACAGGTTAGTCTTGCTGGCTACAGAAGATGTGTTTATGTTGAAATGACTCCTGCGAGTGATTAGAGGCTATTAAAAGCTTTACAATTACATACTATTAAGAAACCAAAAATAAAGGATAAAAAATTTAAAGGAACATAAGATCCCTTGCACTCATAAATAAATATCTAAATTTGGACCAGTGATTAATAATTGAACCTTCATTCTAAAATGTTGCAAATATTTAACAATATTTATTTCTATTTTCATATTTTGGAATATTCTGTCAATCTAATTTAAAAGAATTTTATCTATAAATTTGGCATCAGAACACAAATGTAAATACTTCTAATGAAAATTTGCAGATTTTTAATGTTTTAACATAGTTTTCTATTTGTCTTTATTTCAGGTGCCAGAATTATAAAATATATAAGTAACATTTTTGCTGTTGCTTTAGAACTTAGGGGTTAATTCACCCTGAGTATATGAATATATAATAAAATGATCACTAAATGTTCTGTCACTTTTATTTCAAGATTATGATTACAGGCAGTTTGCAAATGACATGGAGTTCGGTGAACCTGCAGGCGCTGCTCAGCCTGAAACCTCAGCAGACGGCTGAGCGGGAGCAGTAAACGCCAGTCCCCGTGGGGCAGTTTGGGTCCTCGCTGCAGTTATTTGTCAAATCGGTTGACCGACGAAGAAGCTAACAGATTTTAGGCTGCATATAAATTAGAGAAAATTATTGATCGATTTCCTTCTGTGGAATAAGCCGTAATGCCATAAGCACCTTAACTATGCCCAGTAGAGGGTTGTACTGTATGCCCCTTCGGGTGTTTTCCCCTTTGAGAGGGTATCTCCACCCGCCCACAAGGCTATTTTGCTTTTCAAATAAGTAAAAGGCAGCAGTTTCTTTGTAGATTTGCAGCTTTAAGTTCACATTGGCTTTGGTAATTTTGCGTTCCCGTTTTGAAGCCACAATATACGATTTTTTTCCTTACACAAATATGTATTAACTAAAGCAGGCCGTTAGGCTTAAACAGCAAAAGCCCTCTAAATGTTCGCTCTTCTTTGGTAGGTGGGGTGCAGTGGCCAGCCAGGTGCTGCCGCGGGCCCGCAGCCGGCCCTGCGGAGGCGCAGCCCCGAGCGAAGCCCCAGCCCGGCGGCCGCCGCGCGCGGAGAAGAGCCCGGCGCTCCAGCCGGGGGCTCGTCCGTGCCTCTGACCAGCTGGACCGGCCCTGAAACCGCCACCGCGCCTGTGTGCGGTCAGGTGGGCCCGCAGCCGCCTGCCTGGCTCTGCTCCCCCGCGGGCGGGCCCCGGGCCTTGGGGCCGCCCCCATCGCCCCGGGTCACCCCACCCCACCACGGTCCGGAAGCCGGACTCAGCTTGCGGGTCGCCGACTCCGCGCGCCTGGCGGACTCGCAGGGGACCCCGCGAGGCAGGTGGGGCCTGCCTGTGACCCCCGGGTCCCGATGGAACCGATCCGCCGAGGTGCAGACGGGGCGGTCTGGGGGAGGGGACGGGGGCGGGGGCGGGAGCCGGGCTGGGATGGGGACGCGGGCCGGGCCGGGGACCGGAGTGGGGACCGTGCGCAGCCGACAGACCGCGGTCGGCAGAGCTACAGGAGGGTGGGGCGGGTCTGGGCACGGCCAGGGGCCTAGTGCCCTGCGTGCCCCCGCTGCGCCGGGGTCTCTGGAAGGCCAGGGCTTCGGCGGGCGATGCTGTCCCCGGGAGGCCACCAGCCGGGGAAGAAGTGGGCGGGGGCTCAGACTCGGGTCCTCGCAGTGGCCTTTGGCCGGCTGCAGCCCGAGCGTCGCCGGCCACAAGGGGGACATGGGAGAAGGGGCCCCCCAGGCACACCCCTTTCTAAACCCCACTGCACGCCAGGGCGGGGAGGGGGTGGCCCAGGCCCCGGCCCTCCCCCAGTGCGCTGAGAGGCCCCGCCGCACCGGCTCCCTTCCATCGGCTCACTGCGGCTCGCCCCGCCCCTGCCCGGGACGGCCTTCGCTGCAGGTTCCCGGAAGGGCCGGGGTTCCCCCAGAGCCGACTCGGGCACTTACGTGGCCCGGCACCCTGGGAGCCGCACAACCTGCAGCTTTGAGCAGAGGGGCCACAGGGGTGGGCGGGGGGCTGCAGAAGTGAACAAGCCGCAGGTGGCCCTGCCCTCTGCTTCGGGAGGCGAGCTCCTTTTCTCGGGTGACACGGGAGAGCTGATACGGGCTGCCCTGGGGCAGGGCCCATCTTCCCACGGGAGGCCCTGTACAAGCTGTCCTGCTGCAGGTGGGGAAGACCACCTGGGCACCAAGGCTGAGGCTGCTTCGTTCTGTGATCCCAGCAGCCTCTGCTCCCCACTCCCAGCTGTGTCTCCCCAGCTCTGGGCAGCGTCCACTCCCCCTGGGTTCCCCTCTCAGTTCTACAGCCAGAGGCCCTGCCCAGAGGTGAGCTCCTGCAGCCACGGGCTCACCTGGTGTGTTTCTGGCCTCATACGGACAACTGGCTCCCGTTTCCCGGGTCCGGTGTCTTGAACACTGGTATTTCCCGTATTTCACTGATCTGTTTTTGTTGTGGAGACTGGAGGATAAATGCCATTCCTCTTCCCGAATCTTGATCAAAAGCAGAGTCTCCACTGACCTTTTAATGCAGGAAAATCTACAAATGCAATTCACCCCATTAATAGATTAAAAGAGTAAAAAAAAAGCCCTGTGGTCAACTCTATAGATGGAGAGAAACATCTTGATGAAATTCAACCATGAAGAACCTGTTAATAAACCAGAAATAGAAGGAAATCTTTCACATCTAACACTATGTCTACCAAAGTAGTATTCTACATGAGAAAGCACTGGGAACGTTTTCTTTAAAATGAAGACTAAGACAAGGATATTCACTGCCATCGCCTATTTCGTATGGTTCTGAGTGTTCCAACCAACACGAGGCAAGTCAAACAGACGAACTGTTAAGACAGGTGATGTAAGATCATGATTCAAAAATCTGCATTTCTGTGCACCAGCAATACATGACCCCAACAGTAGCGATGACTACAAATCACTTACAAATAAACCCAACAAAAGATGTGCATGGCCTGGACTCAGAAGGAAATCTGAACTTCGTCAATGAACATTACGGACTTGGGTAAAGAGTGAGGTGTTCCTTGTTCTGCTAGTTCTTCGGTTTGGGCTCATACAAGAAAACCAACATCCCAACAGCATTTTTCGTGGTATGTGGCTAAGTCGGTTCTGAATTTCATACGAAAGAGCACCCCGTGCAGGAGACAGGAGGAGGAGAGGGAGAAAGGAAGAGGGGCCACCAGGGACTCTGCCTCGCTTGGAAGCGGACCCCGCATATGTGGATTCTTGATCAGGGCAGGGATCTATGGTCCGCAAAAAAGCGACCTATCCACACCAGAAACCAAATGTTACCAGGAATGGGTCCTTGGCCTTGCTGAGAGAATTCAAGAATGGATGCCGAAAGCTGTCGAGCATTCAGAGTTTATTTGGAGATAAACTTGGGACTTGGGAAAAGACAAGAGTACATACCCAGGAGCTGAGCAGTGGGCAGACCCAGTCCCAGTGGGGGTCACGCCAAGGGAACAATGGGGAGCCTTTTTTCAATATGAAGGGAAATGACTATTCATTAAGTGGGGTTAGGTTTCAGCGGGAACAGGTGGGGTCTTCCCGGAGTTCAGGCTTGCTCCACATCCAGCGGAGGAGGTTTTTGGCTGTCTTATTATCTCCTCGGAATTGTCCCAGCCCAGGGAGGCATGAATTTTACTGTTATTGGCTGTACTATGTATTTGGAGGTGATGTCAGAGTCAACCTCTCCATTTTGGAATCTCCAGCTGGCACTCGTCTATTATCTAGGCCCTGACTCCCCGTCCCCACGGGAACAGCTTGCACAGAGTGTGCAGAATGTTAGCAGGCGTTCCTCCGAAGTCCCGCTTCCTCTCCCTGCTAATGTCCCGCTGTCCGCCTCCTCTAACACAAGTAGGATCCCCTGTCTCACATGAAATAGGAAACATTGCTTCCAGGTAACTTATAGATGTCCATGTTAAAAAGCAAACCTTTAAAACTTTAAAAAGGAAAACATATAAATGATTTTTTTTCTGTTCTTCAACTAAACATTTATTAAATGAGACACAAAAAAGACAACTATGAAAGATAGATGGGTTATTTGACTCCATTAAAAGTATGAACTCACAGAGATCAAAGTATAGCATAAGGGAATACAGTCAATAATGTTGTCATATCTCTGTACGTTGTCAGATGTAAGTACATTATTGGGGTGAGCACTTAATGAGGTAGGTAACTATCGAATCACTACGTCGCACACCCCAAACCAGTATCGTATATAACTATAATTCAGTTAAATAAATGAACAAATAAAATCATGGACATCTGTGCATCAAAAGCACCTTAAAGCAACAGGAAGCTGGGAAAGCCTATTTACAGCACAGAGCCTGCCTCCAGCAACATGGAATTCCCACATGAGTTCGGGAAGGAGCGTGCAGCTCCCTAGCCTGGCTTTGAAAGTGAATGAAAATAGGTAAATAATTTCAGAATATGGGACATTAGCATTCTGTTGGCTCTGTGACAAATTATCATGAGTTTAGTGTCTTACAACAACAAAAATTATGACTTATAGTCCTGCATCAGAAGTCTGACCCGGTCCTTGGGCCACATCAAGGTGTCAGCAGCCTGCCTTCCTTCTAGAGGCTGGATGCAACACTCTGTTCCCCCAACTTTTCCAGTTTCTAGAGGTCACCCTTGTTCCTTAACTCACGCTCTCCTTCCTCTGTGTTCAAAGCCAGCGATGCAAGGCTGGCTTTTCACTCCATCACCTCTCTGGTTCTGTGTCCTGATCGCTCTTCCACTTTGAAGGACCCTCAGGAGAGCATTCGGCCCCCTGGGATAATCTCCCCCATCTCAAGATCACTGATTATCAATCTTAATTCCATCTGCAATTTTAATTCCCCTTGACCATAAAATCCAGTGTATCCACAGACTTGGGATGAAGACATGAATATCTTTGGGGCCATTATTCTGCCCCCATACATACCAGAGCAATATATACCTAATGTCTACATCATATTTCAAGAAGGTACCCACAACCTGGAACATATTTGGAAAAAGTTCAACAGAAATTAATGAGGGAGATACCAGAGAAAAATAACAATACTGGAATTTCAGCATTTATTTTACATAAAAACCATTTTTACTAAAATTAATTCACAATTCATAGGATAAAAATATCAAGGCAACTTAATATCCAATGCATTTAAAATATAATTTGTAAACATTATAAAATATTAAATGAACCATAAATTCATAAAGGTAAAGACTATAATTATTCAGTTAGCAGATAAAACTACTAGCAGATAAAATTTATAAAAATAAAATGTTACAAAGTAATGAACTAAACAATATACAAGTGGAAAAAGCAATTAATAATAAACACTTTGAAATGAAACAATTTCTTATTTAGAATACAGTCCTAAAAGACAAATTCTATCAATGCG